TTTGCTTATCATAATGTCTTCCAGGTTCATCCATGTTGCTGCAAATGACAGGATTTCCTTAAGACTGAATAGCATTCCATTTTGTATATATGCCATATTTCTTTATCCACTCATCTGTTGATGGACACTTAGGATGATTCCATATATTGGACATTGTAAATAGTGCTACAGTAAACATGAGAGTACAGATATCTCTCTGACGTGCTGATATTATTTCCTTTGGAAATAGCCCCACCAGTAGTATGATTGCTGGATCATATGTTCTGTTTTTCTTTTTTTTTCTTTCTGTGTTTTTTTTCTTTTTTTGAGATGGAGTCTTGCTCTGCCACCAGGCTGGAGTACAGTGGTGCAATCTTGGCTCACTGCAACCTCTGCCTCCCGGGTTCAAGTGATTCTCCTGCCTCAGCCTCCTGAGTTGCTGGGATTACAGGTGCATGCCATCACTCCCAGCTAATTTTTGTATTTTTAGTAGAGACAGATCTCACCATGTTGGCCAGGATAGTCTCGATCTCTTGACCTCGTGATCCACCTGCCTCAACCTCCCACAGTGCTGGGATTATGGGTGTGAACCAGCATGCCCAGCCTATTTTTAATTTTTAAAGGAAACTTTATACTGTTTTTTTATAATGGCTGTACTAATTTACATACCTACCAACAGTGTACAAGGAGTAACTCTACACCCTCTCCAACACTTGTTACCTTTCATCTTTTTTGATAATGGTTATTCTTACAAGTGTAAGGTGACATCTCCTTGTGGTTTTAATTTGCATTGCCCTGATGATTCACATTTTGAGCATTTTTTCATATCCCTGTTGGCTTCTCTTGAGAAATATCTATTCAGGTCTTTTGCCCATTTCATTGGGTTGTTTTCTTGCTGTTGAGTTGAATTTTTATATATTTTGGATATTAATCCTTATCAACTATGTGGTTTGCAAGAATGTTCTTCCATTCTGTAAGTTGCTTCTTCACTCTGTTGATTGTTTCCTTTGCTGTGTGATGCTCTTTAGTTTAATGTAATTTAATCTCACTTGTCTATTTTTCCATAAGAAGGGTTGCCAATGCTGTTTACCCTGGCCGCTATGTACCCTGATCCCTGAAGACCCTTTCTTGAACCATTCTGCTCTAAAGTAATCCTCCTTCCATGATCTTTACCAAGTGCTTTGTATTATTAATACATCACTCTACTGATTTCCTTTATAGAACATACACAATGAGAAATTGTCTTGCTTTTGTTTCTTTCTTTACTGTCTCAGCCCTATTAAGATGGAAGGTGCCTGGCATGTCTTAATGCTTTATTCCTAGTCCCTAGCACAATATTAATTTAATAAATAAGTAAGGTTTGAAGCCACTCTGAGCAGATGTGAACATTTGAATTATCTTAGGAGAAATATATTCTTGATTTGCATAAATTTACAACTGAAATGACTTTTGTGATATACACAGCTGATGCCCTTACTATAAGGTATCAGGATATATTGGAAAAACTGGCAGGATTTAAAATTTTTCCGTTGTGTTTTTCTTTCTAGGAGGCAGAAAAACCCTCTGAATTTTTACCATGATGACATTAAAGCCAGAGATGTTAAGTGTCACTGTAGTTAACTCCATGGCCAGAACCTGAGCCGGCAACTCCTGATATGAGTGCTTCACTATGAAAGACAGACTAGATATGGCATGTAACTGCACATTCCTTCTCAGTGTGTTTCCCAGTCTTCTCTTGCAAATTAACACTCAATGGGCATCTTGATACACAGCTAAACATATTTATTCATAGTCAAAACCAGGCTAATAGAGGATATCTATTCACTCATTTCCTCCTTTGACACCTGTAGAATGTTATCTGAATAAAATGATTTTGCAAAGGGATGGGATAGAATTTAGAAAGCATCACATTACTTCAGAGAGTGACTTTCCTGTAATGGGTCTTAGTTGTTAAGCACAGATGCCTAAATAAGCCTGGGCCTATTCAACTGAATTTAATATTCACTAAGGATTAACTGCTCACAAAAAAATATTGTATTTGTGAAAAATTGACCTTGTCTATCAAAATTGGCTACTTCTAATAACTAGCTTTTATAAAGTCTACTTGTTTTCTCTTTTACATAAATAACTACAAAATGTATTAGTCTACTTTGGAGAAACTCTTAAAATAGAATGAAATTGAAAATTGCTAAAGTGTTATAGTTATTTTCAGTTAGATATTTCTATGAATTAAATTATACACTCATGGTTTAAAATCCAATGTTCATAATATAGTTGCCAGCATTTGTGAATTATTACAATTTGAAAAGATTTTGGAATGCTGCAACTTTTTAAAAATGTTCTGCTCTGATCTTTATTTCCTTTCTTCTAACTCTGGGCTTAGTTTGTCCTTGTTTTTCTTTTTCTTTTTAAAAAATTATTGTTATACTTTACTTTCTGAGATACATGTGCAGAATGTGAAGGTTTGTTATATAGGTACACACATGCCATGGTGGTTTGCTGCACTCATCAACCTGTCATCTACATTAGGTATTTCTCCTAATGCTCTCCCTACCCTAGCCCCACACCCCACCGACAGGCCCTGGTGTATGATGTTCCCATCCCTGTGTCCATGTGTTCTCATGGTTCAACTCCCACTTATGAGAGAGAACTTGCAGTGTTTGATTCCTGTGTTTGTTTGCTGAGAATGATGGTTTCCAGCTTTATCCATGTCCCTGCAAAGGACATGAACTCATCCTTTTTTATGGCTGCAGAGTATTCCATGGTGTATATGTGCTACATTTTCTTTATCCAGTTTATCATTGATGGGCATTGGGGGTGGTTCCAAGCCTTTGCTATTGTGAACAGTGCCACAATAAACATACTTGTGCATGTGTCTTTATAGTAGAATGATTTATAACCCTGTGGGTATATATGCAGTAATGGGATTGCTCTTCTAATGTCTTGAGGTGTGACATTTAGGTTACTTTGGATCTTTGTCCTTTTTTGATGTATATTACTGTACACTTCCCTCATAAAACTGGTTCGCTGCACCCCATAAGGTTTGGTATGGTGTTTCCATTTTTGTCTCAAGATATTTTTAATTTGCCTTTTAATTTATTCACTGATCCATTGGTAGTTAAGCATGTTTTCATACATTTTTGCATTTTCTAAAATTTCTTATTGATTTCTAATTTCATACCATAGGTCAGAAAAGATACTTGATATGATTTCAATCTTCTTAAAGTTAAGTCTTGTTTTGTGGCTTAATAATGACCTATCCTGGAGAATGTTGTCTGTGTGCTTGAGAAGAATATATTCTGCTGTTGGAGGAAATGTTCTGTATATATCTAAGTCCATTTGGTCTGAAGTGTAGTTTAGGTCCAATGTTTCTATATTGATTATCTGGATGATCTGTCCATTGTTGAAAGTGGGATGTTGAAGTCTCCTACTGTTATTGTATTGCTTTTACTTCAGATCCTTAAAATTTGCTTCATATGGAATACCATAAAAAGTTCTGAGATATTGATTACTTATTTTATGAATGTGTGAGGCAACTAAGAAGGCTTTTCTGCATTCTCTCTCTTAACACTCATGGACAACTGGTAGGGTTTTTAATTTTTTTAAATTATGTTTTCTCTGCAGTTAAAAAAAAGATTGGCCAGGCACGGTGGCTCATGCTTGTAATCCCAGCACTTTGGGAGGCCAAAGCAGGTGGATCACTTGAGGTCAGGAGTCTGAGACCAGCCTGACCAACATGGTGAAACCCCATCTCTACCAAAAATTAAAAATTAACTGGGCATGGTGGTGCGTGCTTGTAATCCCAGCTACTTGGAGGTTGAGGCTGGAGAATTGCTTGAACCTGGGAGGTGGAGGTTGCAGTGAGCCGAGATTGCACCACTGCACTCTAGTCTGGGTGACAGAGACTCCATCGCAAAAAAAAAAAAAAAAAAAAAAAAAATTGGTCTCATGCCACACAGCTAATAAACAGCAGTGCTTAATTCATCCCCAAGACTGTTTACCACCAAAGACTATATGACCCCTCAGTGCAATCCCCACTTAACTAATGCAGTAAAGAACTGCCACCACTAGGTGCCATTATAGGGTATTGACTTTCAAAGATTTTTGACCGTGACCCACAGTTATACTTTGTGTCACATATACATATATTCCTACATCCACATGATAGAAACAAAAGTCTCACAAACAGTTCTTGTATTGACTGTGAGAAAATAGATGATGACAGACATTTTCTATTTTTTAATGCTAGTTGTAACTCACTAAATTGCTATAATGACCCATTGGTAGGTCTCTACCTGTATTTTGAAAGCCCTGTTCTAAGTGTCCTCTTTAGACATCTTGCAGTCTGCCATCAATTACAAAAAGTGCATTTGTTGAATGTTACTGACAGTCACATGGATCAATTACTACAGTCATCTTAATAATGTATTCCAAATTTGGTTTTGTTTTCTCACCTCTAGTTCTTGAGTACACTAATGGGATCTTTATCTTCAGAAAAGCTGCTAACATAAAACACAATGCCTTATCACTAACAAATCAAATTAGATATAATTTAAGCAGGTGTATGTGAGCAGGAAAAACACATTAGAACCACCTGAATCTAGATATGATCTATGATTTTGAGAGCATTCAGTTTTGTTCTCAAGATTAGTGATATAATCTTTACATTGTTATTTTTAAGGTATGTGCAGTTTTGTAATAGCAATAAAATGCAGGTATGTATACTTCATTGTAAATAACCATTCTGGCCAAAAAAAGGCTTTCAATGACTTTGGACAAGTAAATGATTCCTGGTACAATCATACTTCTTTGGTATTTATGAAAAAGATGTTTTAACCCTGAGCACCCAATTCCTGGTGCTCCATTTAAGTATTTAAGATGTTTCTAATAGGGTTGAATCTTGTTGTGAATAGCTAGTGAAATACTAACATGGAAGGCAAGTTTTATGAGCATTACCAAATTGAACACAAATTATCTGTTGCATAGACTACAAACAGCTATAGATAAAAAGTACAGCAAAATGATTTCACTAAATCAATATTTTATTCAGTGTCAAAGCATCTTAACTGAGTTGTATAAGTAATTTTGTCTGTAATTTTAGTAGTAACACTTGTAGAAAATATCAATTTTATTATCAGTTGTGCTACTAGAAATAATATTGAAGGAGTTAATTCTGAATTAATTTATTCATTTATGCAGTTATTTATATCCACTTAGGTACAAAACTTTTGTAAGAAAGATAACACTTTTATTGCATTATAATTTCATATTTTACAGGAGTCATAATGCAAACTCATAAGCATAAATATATACATGATGCTACCAAATGGCAATGTAACTACTAAGATTTAAAACATAAAACTAGAATTTAACAAGCAAAATACTTAATATGGCTTTTAATGGAAAATAACTGTTTAGAAATGATTTGTTATTGCCCCATTCTAGTCATTCCCCATCAAGTGAACATAAAATTATGATCTCCATTTAAAATGGTACATGTTATCTAAGCCAAAGTTATACATTTTGTAGCATGTATGTAGTATGATTTGTGGACTTCCTTAAATATACATACATATATACATATATACAGATATACAGTACACAGTTCTGTTTTAATACCCCTGAACATCTTGGTTAAAACTATTACAATTTTTTCTATTATAAAACTACTTGAAAAGTTGGCATAACTTCTTGGTATCGAAGTTCAATCCTACGGAATTAAAAAAAAAAAAAAAGCAACAAAATGTTGGTTATAAATACATTCTTTACAAAAAAAATTGAATAGTGGTCCCGCACTCATAACTTATATTACAGTGAAAACATTTTATCCATTTAAAGGTATTTATATCTTGTTGTCCTTGGTTTCTGTGTGAAATAGAGGAAGTTAATAGTGAGAATATTGTAGGCAGGCCTATTTGTTAGGTTTGTCTAGGTGTTCATTTTTGTGTAAGTTCCAATTCTCTTCTTTTGAGTTGTTGTTGATTTCTATTTGCCTTGTATTACTGCTGCTGCTGCTTCTTTTGGTGTTCTGGGAACACAGGGTGACTTTACTTCTAGGAACAGGAAGAAAAGATTTAACTCTTGAGACACCCAACTCAGTCTTTGATTTACTGTTGCTGCATTCAGTAGTTTGATGGCTGCTGAGAGGACTGACCTCCTGTAAGAGACGAGAAACCACACAAGTTTATCACATTTGCCATTGTCACCAACTTCTCCTGTTATGAGCCCTACCCCTGCCTCCTCTTTGAGCAAATGTGCAGGAGTTTCTAAAACTATAGGTTCTTATGAAAAATCAAAAGAAAATGGAGAGGAGAAGCTGAGTAATTAATTTCCTATAGACTTACTGCATGATTTTCATTAGTCCCTGTCTGGTGTTACAAAATTCCTAAATACAGGAGTCAGTGAATCAAGTGCTAAGGCGTTGCTCTCCTTACCAACAGAAACTTCACAAAATTACAGGCATGAGGAAATCACCAAACTGGAGTAGTCCAATTTGTAGGTAGCTCTACAAACTGTCACCTTAGGTAAGTTACCTAACTTTTCTGCCTTCTACTTTCATGTCTTAAAAGTGAAATATTACTCAATAATCAAATAATCTGGGGGCATAGAGCAGAAAACATAAGAGAAACATCCCTTCCCTAGCAGAGCCTACATTCATCTATGATTAGGTTGCTCAAGATCTTCCATACTTGGAAGCTGCATGTATCTCTTTTCTCTAGTGTTTCAGAACTCCTGTGATTACCTGGTCAATGTCTCTTTTTGCCCATGAAGAATCTGAAAGCTGGATAGGTAAGATGATTTGCCCACAGTGAATGGAGTGGTGAAGCTGGGACAAGACCTCAGGTCTCCCAACTTCCACTCAAGGTGTTTTCCCCTATATTGCATCAAATTCTGCAAACTAACAAACATGATATGACTCCTACTAAGTGAGCTACTCTGAAAGCCTCTGAAGGAGTTGACCTTGATAACTTCCCCTCTTCACAGGTAATAATGCAGCCAACAGCAATATAACCATTAAAAGATTTAAAACAAAACTAAAATTTAACAGGAAAAATCTGAGTTCACCTGGCAGTTGCATTCTCCTGGGTATCGTCTTACATGACATTGGAATCACCTGGGGGAGCTTTAACAGTCATTGACTGGGCCCTATTACCAGAGATTCATATTTAATAGTTCTGGGGTGTGGCATGGACATAGGATTTTAAAAAATCTTCTCTAATATGCTGCCAAAATTAAGAACCCCTAGCTTAACTCCTCAATATCCTTTTCCTCCACTGACCAATTAAATCAGGGGTCCCCAACCCACAGGCTGTGGACCAGTCCATGGCCTGTTAAGAACTGGGCAGCACAGCAGGAGGTGAGCGGGGGCGAGCCGGCATTACCACCTGAGCTCCGCCTCCTGCCAGATCAGCAGCATTGGATTCTCATAGGAGTGCACACCCTCTTGTGAATTGTGCAAGTGAGGGATCTAGGTTGCCCACTCCTTGTGAGAATCTAATGCCTGATGATCTGAGGTGGAACGGTTTCATCCGGAAATCTTACCTTTTACCCAGGTCCGTGGAAAAATTGTCTTCCAAGAAACCAGTCCCTGGGGCCAAAATGGCTGGGGACTGCTGTCCTAAATGGTAGTATTTTTCTTAGCCCTCTATAAGTCACACATTGGTGATCTTTTTCTTCAGAGTATTTCAATCTCTAATTAAATACTTCCCAAAATTCTTTCTTTAGCCCTCATTTATCTCCTGCATTTCCACCCCACTAATTCACCTATATGTCTAGTCACACTTGAAATTCTTTCTAAAACTGTATTTATTGCATTTCCTCAATACTACTCATTTCTAAAGCCTTTCCGCGTGGCGGCTCATTACTGGTTAATACTGCTCTCCCAGTGAATTTAGCAGGAAACCCTCAGTTATCTTTAGCAGCTGCCTCTCTCTCTCCTCATCAACCTAATCCAATGTCACCCACAAAATGGGCAGAGAATTATGGCTGTATCGGTGCAAATAGGAAGGTAAAGTCCTCACTAACTGCACAGAACAAGTCCCAAACTTTTAACCATGTCACTAAAGTTCTTTTATAAAGTTTGGCTCCAATCCCCTTTAAATCCCATTTTTCCTTTATTTCCCTATTAAAGTCCTAATTCTTTAAGGCCCAACACAACATGTCCATTAAACCACCCCTAAATCACTGAAGTGAAATCTCTTGGTGTCCGATTTCTAGACTCAGCTAATCATAAATGGAACAGCAATGTAACTCTAATATACACTTGGCTAGAGGTTTGGGAAAATATACACACACTGAAACATCAAATGTGTAATGGAGAATAAAGAGGGGACAATTCTGGGGTCCAGATCACCTGCCTTTGCAGGGAAAGGAAAGAGAAGTCTAGACTGCAAGAAGCTAGCTTAGAAAGGCAAGAGCTTCCTGACTTAACAAAAACCAGATAGGCTCGGTTTTAACTACGTCCAAGGAAGGCTGGAAAAAAGCTGAGCCACATCTGGTGAGGGGACACATCCTAGTCCATCCTTGTCACCTCCATGTGTAGTTGATGGTATGTGAAGGGTGAACCTGCTTCGTATGTTCTGCTTTTGTTTTGTAGGGATGCTTATGCTGTGAAGTTACCAGAAAGAAAATGAGAAGTTATATTGCTTGTCATGAGTTGGATGGTGATAGAGCCACAATTGTAAAAACAGTGCAGGTACCATGATCCAATCTCATTTCTCCTAACAAGAAATTACTGTTAAGTCTGCAAAATGGGACTTAGTCATGGGCCAATTACAACTTGTAATTTGGTCTAACACACCAGCAAATTCAACACATACATAATATTCGGAAAACATGAAATAATGGCATTATAATAAGGATAACAGCTAGTTGCTATACAGAATCCGGTGGTGAGGGGAGTTGTTTAATTTTGCCATTATTGTCCGATCCACAGAGTTAATGCCATGGCTCAGAAGAAGGAAAGGAGACATACACTGTGTTCTAGTCTGTTTCTGTACCTGCAACATGATGGTGAGGGGAGTGTACCTTCATGGTCTGAGGCAGGAAATGTCCACATGAAATGAAGTACCACAGTGTGGTTTGGCCAGTCCCTGGAAGTGTGAGGCTAGGATGGAAGGAGGTAGGATGAGAACATGGAGAATCATGAGGGCTTAGTGTGAGCCATAGCAATTCAAGGCCAGGAGCGCAAGAATAGAGCAAGTGGCTGATGCGCAGCGTCCTGACTGAAAAGTACTCCTGACACCCTAGAAGTCAAGCCTAGGGAGGCAGCGGAGTTTAGGAACAGGAGAGTTATGAGTGTTTAAATGTATAACGTTGACTATCCATGTTGTTGTGCATGTTAAACTCAAAGAGAAACTAATTCATATAGAAAGGCACTGACCTAAAGTAAGTTTTATTTAGCCTTAAAGAATTGGTAAATCAGAGCAATCCATTCAGTGAAATTCATTCAACACACAGCATCTACTAGAAGCTAAGAAGATGCTATAATTCCTCTAGGTGGGAAAGTTGGGGGCAGGAGGAAAAGAAAAACATGTAGGGAAGGTGGCACTGGGGGGTGAGTCTTTAAAGAGGCACAGGACTGTGACAGGTGAAGAGAGAGGGTTCTGTGGGGAGGAGTACAGAGGGGAGCAGTAAATTACATGTAAAAAAGGAACGTGTGAAAAACAAGATACATGAAGGCAAATCAATCCCTCTAAAGATATATTTGGTAAAAAAGAAATGGGTGTAAAATGAAGATGACTGATCAGGGCTATGTTTTAGAGTAGTGGGTCTCAACCCTGGCTGCATGTAAGAATCACCAAGGAGCTTTAAAAAATCCACTGTCCAGGCTTCCCCTCAGACCAGAGGATGGCGGGGAAAAAAACAAACCTCAAGTGGATTTCATGTAACCAAAGATGTGAACTTGTCCTTTTGGAGGATTAGTTTGGATTTACATAAAAGGAAAACATTTATTAGCATTTGTTCTTCCTGTTGATTTAAATATGCATATTTGTTTTTAATTTAGAAGGCCGGCTAAATTAGTAAACCCAATTACGCTCCCTTACTGTTAGAGTAGTGAGGAGTTATATTGTGGCAAATAATAAAGATAAGTTACTCATTTTTGTTTTCCAACAGATAATGATGGTTGCAGGGCCCCTCTCCAATGGAGGCATTGCCAGCCTTCTGGCCATGAAGGAGAAAACGATTTCAACTAACCCAGGGAGCTCTTACCTCTAAATGGAGATACTTCCTGATAACAGAAGAAACTGGGCATCTAACCCAGAAATACCAGCTCAGTAGGAGAAAAGGCATGAGCCAGCCAAGGTTTCAGAAGGCTGCCAACAGTAAGTACCACTTTGCCCTCTGCTGGCAGTTTCTGAGAAAAACATCTTCTAGTTCTCAGGGGTGTCTTCAGTGGGCAAAGGGAGAGAAGACTAGGAGGCAGTGGTCCTGATCCCCACATCAAATTGCACATTTAAACAATAACATAGGTGTTTTTTTTGGGGGGGTATAAGAGCCCATATAGTGTAAAAGGACTCGTTTTAAAAAAGATCTTTTAAACAAAGCTGTCCAGAACTTTGACTTTCAGTACTACTTTATTTGTGGACAGTACCTTATTGTAGCAATTCAATACGGTCACGTGACAGAGAAGTAGTGGTATGACCATGTTTCTCCATTAGACATTTAAACAGCAGTCATTCTCTACCAGCCAACAATATTTTTACACAAGAATGTTATCTGGGCTTATGGGGAAGGTGGCTCACTGTTCTCTTGCTAAGATCCTTCCACTGACCATGTTCCACAAGGAATCCTAAATTCTTGGGTCCTAGAGACCGGCCTCCAGTCAAGCACAGCTCAGGGCAAGCCATAAATACAGGGGGGAAGGAGTTGAGGCTTTAAAGATGGCAAAGGAATTGGCCCTGGACAAAGTGTTTTCCAACCAGAATGCTCAGTGCTGACTCCAGGTCACCTCCTTAGGTCATCCTCCAAATTTTGCTGGGCTTCTAAATTGTTCCCAATTGAACAAAAAAAGGCAGACATTATGCTAGCGTGGGCGTGAAAGCCATGCTTTTCTTCATAGGACATCATGTTTAATATTTTGTATTAGAGCCCCAGCCGTGCAAATTCCCACTCCCATACCTGCTCCCCCAATGCATGCAGCTCACACAGTTCCACATGGAATAGCCAGGACCAAAACCTAATGAAGCAGTAAGGGAGCAGGGCTGTGGGGCCCAGTGCTGCTAGGTGATCAGATAAGGCTTAATAACTTAATAGTCTCACCATGCTTACTTTATAATCCTGCTCTCTGCGCCCCACCCTCCCACCCACACACAGGTCTTTGTAAGCCACCTTGGGAGTAGATGAGAACAGGATGTGAATGGCAATCAATCAACATGGTTTGGTGAACAAACCATATATTACAAAGTGCTTCTGTGAAGTCTGCATCCTCACAACATAACTAATGAGTGAGACGTTTCCTATTGTTTCTGCTCACCCAGGAATACCATGCTGTGCCAGCTCTTGCCATTTATTAACCAACTGATAATGGTGCAGTGTTGTAGTCATGGAATCTATTTCAAAAGGTTAAGGAAGTCTACTGGAATCCTGGTTCTTCTAGTTGCCATTCAGATTTGTTTTTAAAGTATCACCGAAATGTAATGCACGTTATAGAAATTTTTTTGCAATGTATAAGACCTTTATGTTATCACTTAGTGCTTTGCTTTGTTATAATTAACTCTAATTTTCTAAAATACAGGAAATCTGAAGAACAACCAAGATGACAGTTTTGTTACCACAGTACCCCCCTCATCCACAATTTTGTTTTCTGTGATTTCAGTTACCTGTGGTCTGGAAATACACAATTCATAAATTTGCAGGCCATTCTAAGTAGCATGATGAAATCTTGCACCATCCTACTGTGTTCTGCCCAGGATGTGAATCAACTTACCCATTCTGTCTACATGACCCACCCACTGGCCACTTAGTAGCCCTCTAGGTTGTCGGATTGAAGGAATATAGTGTATATAAACTTTGGTTGGGGTTCAGGCGTCACCTGATGAGGCAGAACTACTTATTTCTAGTTTTGTCATGTACAAATGAAAAAAAAATGGAGTTATCAACAGACACCCAAAATTTTGGAATCAAAGAGAAGGGAAAAAAGTAATGCTTTCCTATGTCATTTTTTCCCCAAGATACTCTATAAACACTTTCTAATCTTGATAAACTGATGAACAATTTTACCTTTATCCTATTTCTCAGTTCTTAGCTTTGGTTTAAAAAAACAACTCTCTGATTCACACTGAAAGATGATTTGTGAAGTCAATTCCATAGCAATCATCCTTTGCTCACTTTGGGGGGAAAGGGACACTTACCTTTTGTGACACTGGCATTCTCAGATTATTAATAGTTGCTGAAAGTATAGGGTTGTTTCCAGAACTATCAAACATCCTTAAATCATCCCTGGAATCAGCAATCTGGAAAATACAGAATTTACCCAGTCATGTCTCCACAGTCACACTGTGCATACTCAAGGCACAGCTAAATGGTGGAGAAACCACAGCAGAAGTGTTACTCTTATCCTCCTCCCTGCCCCTCAAATCCTGAACTGTTCACATGAAAGACTTGAAGTCTTCATGTAAAACTGACAGCAAATGTATGAGAAACATCCTCTAAGGAAAAAGAATCCATTTAAAGAAAGGATATAAAATTTGCAAGATTTTAATCATTACCTTTTCCAGTGGATATCGATTTTGTTTCCAACACAGTTAAATAAGATAGTGAATTCTACTTTGTTGTGGATATTATGACGATTCAAATAAAACACAGTTGAGTGTTTCAGCAGAAGCTGAAAAAGTTACAGCCACTCAAAAGGCATCCATCAAGGCAGCTCCGTGAAACCTGCTGCAGATACCAGAGCGCCAAAACAGGTTGAACTTGATGCTGCCCCTGTTTTCTTTGAGATTTCAGGTCACTGAGATTTCAGGTCACTGGTTTCCATATTTGGCCTCAAATTTCACAGCTTAAAGATTATGATGATATGCATTATACAAGCTAATTCTTTTTCCCATCTGCAAAGAAAGTTGTTGCTTGGTCTATAACATAAGTCTGCTGTGATGCTTGTTATAATTTTCTTACTGATAGATGACTGATATGCCAAAGTTAGGAATGTAGAAAGGAAAAACATCTGAGGAAACTCAAATTTAGGCTTATATAAAAAAGCTGCCCAGGCTGGGTGCAGAAGCTCATGCCCATAATCCTAGTACTTTGGGAGGCTGAGGCGGGCAGATCACCTGAGGTGAGGAGTTCAAGACCAGCCTGGCCAACATGGCGAAACCCCATCTCTACTAAAAAATCCAAAAATTAGCCAGGAGTTGTGGTGGGTGCCTGTAATCCCAGCTACTCGGGATGCTGAGGCAGGGAGAACTGCTTGAACCCGGGAGGCGGAGCTTGCAGTGAGCCAAGATCCCACCACTGCACTCCAGCCTGGGCGACAAGAGCAAAACTCCATCTCCCCCTCCGCCCAAAAAACAAACAAACAAAAAAAAAGCTGCCCAAATGAATTGATGTGACTTGTACTAATGCAATTAACACACAATTTTAACTTCAGGTCTTGGAGGAATTTGGAAAAGCAGGCTTCACAACGTAGAGCTCCTTTATTGTATAAATGATATTTCAGAAGAAATGGCCTTTCTAAGCTAGGTGAGGGATGGTTTGATTTGGAGCATTGACCATGCTATTCAATAAGGAATTTCTTTTAGGGAATTGTGGTCCCCCAAAAGTCTCCCAGCTATTGAGTAGAGCCATTCAATGCCCCCCATTTGTCCTGCTCACCTTGCTGATATCAGACTCAGACTTGCTGGAGCACATGCTCTGAAGTTCCTTGACAAGATCTGCTTCGTCATCCGAACCCAGAGAGAGTCTCTGATCCAAATTCAACGTCAGTGACAGATCATTCTCTAAAGACCTAACGCAAAGTTCAGAAAAACGTTTTTCAAAGTGAGAACAATTCCCAATTTGGAAATCTAGACGCTGTACCTTTTTTGGGATTTGGTGTGGGGTAGGGAAAATGTTTTTAATATCCTTTAAAGTATTTCATAAATGTCATTTAATGCAACAACCCACTCCCATATCCTGAGAGATTGGAATACTAAGGTAAGAAATTTCTACAGGATTTTGATAACTCCTACTCAAATTCTTGAGAGGATAAAATTTTGTTTCACAAAGAACTTCACTTAGATGTACAATATTCAGGCTCCCTACTATTGCCATTTCTTCTGTCTCCCAGGCCAGATAGGATGCTAAACACTGGCATAGGGGACAGTGTGATAAAATGGGACCCAAACACGAATTTCAAACTTGGCTCTATTGCTAGCTAGCAATATGATCATGTACCAGGTTTTCTAAACACCTCAGTTCCTGGGTTCCCTTTTCTATAAATAACCCTTATGTGTGCATCCTAAGGTTGTTGGAAAAATGATACAGGCTGTTGAATGTCATGGATCTAGCTGTGGTCCTGCCAGAAAATAGCATGCCATGCAGTTTCCTTCATCTCCTCTCTCTTCACCCTCCCCTCTTTAATGCAGCAAACCAGCGGACATGATCCTAAATATTACCTGCCAAGTGACAGGGCACACAAACTGCCTAAACATTTCTATTCTATAATTGTACAAATCATCCTTTATACCTCAATATTTGCAAGCTGAAATAGTCAATTTCTTAGGAACAACATAAGAAATTATCGCTGTAAATATATAGCACTTAAAAATCACGCCTGTAATCCCAGCACTTTGGGAGATCTAGGCAGATGGATCACAAGGTCAGGAGTTCGACAGTAACCAGGCCAAGATGGTGAAACCCTGTCTCTACTAAAAATACAAAAATTAGCCAGGCACGGCGGCAGGCCCCTGTTAATCTCAGCCACACAAGAGGCTGAGGAAGGAGAATCACTTGAACCTGGAGGTAGAGGTTGCTGTGAACCGAGATCACGCCACTGCACTCTATCTAGCCTGGGCAAGAGAGCAAGATTCTGTCTCCAAAAAAAAAGAAAAAAAGGTCATCTAATGACTGTCTAAAAGTTCACAAATGCATACACAGAATTTGATCAAATGAAACCTATATTTCTAACCGTATTCAACAAACTACAAGCAAAATAGTCTTTATATTGCATTATATTAATCTTAAGGAACAGTTTAGATGTCATCCAAAGATACCATTCATTAGATTTCAGTTTAATATCAGCATTTGAATGACATACATTATTTTAAAAGCACATTAACAGCATAATAGTCATACAAATAATTAAGAACATGGAACATTTTAAATAGTAATTGAAGTTACTTGATTTATCTTTGTTTGCTGTGAGTTAAATTTGAAAGGGGAACTTACTTTTGTTTTGACAGAGAAACATTCCTGTTATAATTCAGCTGTGATATAGTCTTGTTTTTTATACCTGTTAAAAAAGAGAACCATTTTCAATAGATCATTGTCCCTGTGCCTCTTGAACTCTGTATTTAAAAGAAACAGACTGTGGACTTTGCAGCACTTTCATACTGTTCTTGGATTAGTATTTACCATTTGAGATTTTCCCCAGGACAGAGGTTCTGGGCATAGCCTCCTGCACAGGCATTGTGGGAAAGTCAAGGAATAGCCAACTCCCTCGAGTACATTTTGGTGGAACTTGGTACTACTAACACTACCTGAAGCTCAAGTCAAGAATGCTGAATTTCGCTTTTATGGATGGCCCTTCTCTCTAGTCAAGTCCCTAGTTCCTCAGGCCCTTGTTCTCGAAGGACCAAAAGAAGATTTAATACCTGCCTTTTGGATGATGGTAATCACCCTTTCTCTACCTTTGTGTGCATTCTAACACTACTATGTAATCAAGTATAATTTTTGATATGTGGCATTAGCCATGCATTTGTAGAAATTTAACTTTTAACAACTTTTGCATTATACAGAAAAGAAAATATGAACAGGGTATAAAAAGTCATGGAATTTAAAAAATGCTGAAAATCGTATCAATGTTTTTTAAACTGCAGATTATGACATAGTTAAAAAAAAGAAGAGAAAATAGCCTGTACTGATTATCAGTTATACAAACATACAAATGCAGAGGTTTGTGTGTACAGGTCATGGTATACAACGTATTTGTCACTATGGGTTATGGTTAAAGTTTGAGAAACACTCTTATAAACCATTTTAGACTCAATATTACGAATGCATTAAAACAGTTGCTTTTGAGTGAATTCTAAAAATATTAATATTGCCAGCACAAATTTTCTCTAAAGAATGTTTTTGAAAAGTAAATATATCCTCATTAAAAGAAGATCAAAGAAAATCACTGTCAAGTTTCTTTACTCATACTTTTGTCATTATCATCCAAAGCACTGACTAATGGCTTCTACTAATCACTACATAGCACACAGCCTTGGGCTCTGCCTTAAAGGCCTGGGATCTGACATCAGGCCTTTCTGTTTTAGGTCAGAAAAGAAATGGGCTGTCTCTTTATCAAATTTTTTTTTTTTTTTTTTTTTGAGGCGGAGTGTAGCTCTGTCGCCCAGGCCTGAGTGCGGTGGCCGGATCTCAGCTCACTGCAAGCTCCGCCTCCCGGGTTCATGCCATTCTCCGGCCTCAGCCTCCCGAGTAGCTGGGACTACAGGCGCCCGCCACCTCGCCCGGCTAGTTTTTTGTATTTTTTAGTAGAGACGGGGTTTCACCGTGTTAACCAGGATGGTCTCGATCTCTTGACCTCGTGATCCGCCCGTGAGCTTCCATAGTGATCTGCATGCAAAGGGATTCCTGTGTTGGGTTTTTTTTTTGTTTTTTTAAACAATAACCAAAGTCACCGGAACCACTGTAATAATCATATATACAATGGAATTATTAGAAAAATCTACCATTATAAAAATAACGAGAGGCATGTCAGTCATGGTTTCTAACCCAACTACTGACTCATGAATTACATACTTGGTAAAATTAACTTTTAGAAATTTCCTTGAACTCTGTGTAAACTCTTGTAGCGTAGTTTTATTCTGTCAAAGAAGTTCATGCTTCAAAGAATATAACATTTGATATCAAATAGTTCTAAAACAAATTACTAAAAATACAAATAATTTAAAATCTATTCATCTTTTTTACATTTAGCATAATATAGTTTTCTGAGCCATACTCTTCCATGATACTGCTTTAAATTCATATTCATTTTGTTGATTGTCTACTCTAAAGCATATACAAACACTTATTAACTTAGCTCAAAAATTTGGTCTTAAACATTATAGAGATTCTAATAAACTTAGAAATGACACAGTGAAAAGCCTCAATGGGTGTCCAGTTATCTGAGTACCCAGAGATCATTGCATGTCTAACAAGATTAGGGTGGCATGGTCTACAGAAAATAGCACTGGGCTTGCAAGAAACAATTATAGAACCACATATTTCCAGGAGAGGTGATTTGGAGCAGGTGTTCAAGGGTTTCTGAACCTGAGTTTTGTTCTCTGTAAATGGAGATCATTATCATTGTCTTAGAGCCTTCTTGCATACCGAAAGGACTAAGAGCAAATGAATGGTATAATCTTTGCTACAGAAAGTCACCTGGGGGTCTATACTAAATTAACAGGCTGGAGTCCAGTGATTCTTACTCCCTGAATCAAACACTCCGACAACTTTGGGAAGTAATGACAAGCTCTGAAGATCAAAACGGTATCTATTATCAATATAAAATGCTTATCTTTTTAAAAGTATAAGAAAATTCATTTTATTCAGTAAATTTTCATTCACTTAAAAAAAGGGGTCACAATTTGCTATCACGCACTTAGGGTAATTGGGGAGCCCTAGCATATATTGATAGGATTAAAAAACATTAAATTGCTATTAAAATGAACAAAATACAAGCTTAAAAATGAAAATATACTCATAACTAAAAGCAACTTTTTTATGTTTTTAAAAATATAAGATTTTAAGCACCTCATTTAGAAACCCCACTGCTATGAAGTTGGCATAAAATTCCACAAAACAAATACTTTGAGAGGGGAGGCAAATGAATGACATAATCTGAAGTCCATGGTGCACATGAGGTGGAAATTTCCTTTCACTTTTATTCCAATTTGGATTTCTTTTGGGAAGGACATTTATAATTTATATAATGGCTGATTATCCTATTATCAATGCCAAAAGGAATAGGTCTAACACCAGAAGATACACGTGTTACATCTTCTTTGTTAGAATGAAAGCTTACACACTTACTTTTCACGTGATGTCCCATCATATGAAATCTGTCCAATTTATTAGAATGCCTCGATGAAGGCAGGAATTTTTTTTTTTTTTTTTTTTTTTTTGAGACAGTCTCGCTCTGTCACCCAGCCTGGAGTGCAGTGGCGTGATCTCGGCTCACTGCCACCTCTGTCTCACAGGTTCAAGCAATTCTCGTGCCTCAGCCTCCTGAGTAGCTGGGATTACAGGCATGCGCAACCAGGTCCAGCTAATTTTTATATTTTTAGTAGAGACAGGGTTTTGCCCTCCTGACCTCACTCACCTCGCTCACCTCAGCCTCTCAAATTTCTGGGATTACAGGTGTGAGCCGCCCTGCCGGGCCAGGAATATGTTTTTTTACCGCTCTATTTCTAGTGCCTAGACTAGAACCCGGCACATGGTACATGTCGTATATGAGAAACAAATGTGTACACCTGATTCACCTGGAAAGGCCTTAAATGGGTATCAATATGTCTCTACACATGTTTTTTTAATGTAAGATTAACTTAGGAGTGATATAATAGTAGAGAAATATGCCAATGATTTCATTATGCAATAATGCAATGATTATACAAATTGTGAACACCAAGAGAAACAAATTAATAAATGACCATTAACAACTTAAACATTAATTTTGGAATTCTAGTTTGAAAGTGGTATTCTTCTGGTAGGGATCTCCTGTATATTTTTGGAAATATACCTACTATATAGTTTGTTTATTCCATGAGAATGTGCATTGAAATACTTAAACTTTGTTTTGCCAAATGCATAGTGATAAAAATGAAAGCATATTTGCTTTCAGACACTGGATTGGGAATGTCCACCTCCTTGCAGGCAGCATGCCTACCCCGGCCCCTTACCTTCGGTGCTTAGGTCTGGCTTATTCCAGGTGGGTAAAGAGAAGCGGCCAGACTTCCTGCGAGGACTGGTGTTCACCTTTCTCCAGGCACCACTCTCTCCTTTCTTTTTGTTACAACTGTTATAACTGGAAACTATGGATAAAGGGAAACTTCCTCCTTTGAAATCAGCTGTATGCTGGTCTAGTTCTGAAACAACACAAATCACACAGGGATAATGCAGTTTCACTGATTAAAGCAAAATCCATTTCTATTTCTCAAAGATGGACTGTTCAAAATCATGCACTTGGTTTAATATCCAAGCTGGGGTTTTGTGAACCAGCACAAACTTTACTTGGAGGTCTAGAATTCAAACATTAACCAGTAATAAAAATCAGAGTTTGGAACACTGCTATCAAATGTCTACTTTTCTAATTACAAAGAGAAGATAGACAGCTCTCTAAAAACAACTTCTAAAAGGTATTTTATAAGGGTGTGAATTTCCTCTCCTCTCTGCAGAAACCCACATACCTGCTCTGGGGAGGGGACAGCCATGCAGTACGGCTTTATTTAGCAAGATGCTGAGAGCAGCTTTGACCACAGCCTGCTGTCCTTGGCTAGGGTGTCTTTTAGCAGTTGTCTGTCCAAAGCCAGGTTGTCTTTTCACAGAGGCTCTTGACAATATTGCTTCTTGAACTCTGGGCGCGATGACGCCATTCCACAGCTTAGACATCCACCTAGCAGGAGAGGGGCCGATTCATCCCTTAGGAGCAGGCTTCTCAATAATTATACACAATTCTATGAAAGGACAGTTTGAAGACTATGGGGAAAAAACGTTAAGTGTTTCTATAGATATGCTACCTTTCCCAGGTAGTTTTCAAATAAGTGAAATTACCCAATACAAAAATAGTTTGAATCTTTCTCAAAAATACAATGTATTTCAAATGAAACTGATTGTTTACATGTCTGTCTCAATGTAGAATCAATGCTTGAGTGCTGAGTGAATGAATGCATGAATAAACACATGGAAAGGAAGGTAAATTTAAAGACTGAAGAAATCTGGAAAAAAGACTTCCTAAAAGTCGATGTCTAAATAGCTTCAACTTCTTTTTATATCTCCTTAATAAAGTACATGTATATTGTATTTTAATATATCTGAAATTGGGATTTTTTTTTTTTTTTTTTGAGAGAGAGTCTCACTCTGTCACCCAGCCAGGCTGGAGTGCTGGGGCACAATCTCGGCTCACTGCAACCTCTGCCTCCTGGGTTCAAGCAATTCTCATGCCTCTGCCTTCCAAGTAGCTGGGATTACCCACAAGTGCCACCACACCTGGCTAAGTTTTGTACTTTTAGTAGATATGGGGTTTCACCATGTTGGCTAGACTGGTCTTAAACTCCTGACCTCAAATGATCTTCCTGCCTTGGCCTTCCAAAGTGCTGGGATTGCAGGCGTGAGCCACTGTGCCCAGCCTGACATTGATTGTATAATCACTGGTAAATTCAATCTGCCTGTCCCAAGGCAAGGGCTCACTGCTGCGTGTGGGTGGGTTCAGTTCTATCGGGAGGATGGGGGTCAACCAGCTATCGCCTCAGGTGGACTGTTTGCATTAATAGCCATAAATAGTGGGACTTCAGCCCAAATTTGCAGCACTCAAAAATTAAAACTAGATTATGCTTTGTTGCAGTATTAAAAAAACACTTATATGATTAAAGGCTATAGAGACAACACCACATCTCCCGGGTCAGGAATGTTTTCAAAGCTATTAGATATTGCATGAATCTTTCAAGAATTGTCAAAAACTACGATCCATCAAGTTTCTCTCTTAATGTCTAGTGCTATGCAATCGGGGAAAAATAAAAGTACAATAGGGAACACAGACAAAATTCTGGTATTTTACAGCATGAATCAAAATTATGCAGTTATTCCTAAAAGTGCTACAGCATAAATATGATAAGCTGTGGTTTGGAAAAAAAAAATCAACTCCTTAGCCATTGGTAGACAATTATCTGCGGCATTTCTGCACATCTGGTGTTAGTTTTTGTTCTGAACTATCTTTTCAGTCTTGGAAGACAGAGATAAAGGTCTCCTTCAGGAGCAGAGGGCAGAATTGTTTCCTGACCAGGATAATAAAAATAACATCTTCCAGGGCCAAGGGTCGAAAGAGTTGCAGCATCCCTCTTTAGAAGCCTTGGAGGGATGGGAAGGGGGGAGTTCCACAGCTGTGAGGCAAATCCAGAATCCACATGGGCTACTATGTATCAACCCGTGGGACTTCAGGGGTAACGGGAACCTATGTGAAAGTGAAGCTCAGGCTGCCTGCTGTGTTGTGGATGGTGAAGTCCTGTGCCCTCACTCAGCATCCTGAACCATGGCAGGCTAATATGGTAGCTTGCAAATAGGGTAAAACTCCTGGAACCTCCACAGTTCTTGATAAAGACTATACTCCATATAGGAGAGGTCAAAATTGGTTCCTAAGAATCTTGAGACTCTGGATGTAAAAAAGACTAATTTCATTGACATAATAATGAAGAAAGTGGTAATTATATCAATAAGTGTATTTATTTTGTAGCAAAATTCTAAACGTACATTTAATACAGTACTACTTTCCCACCATTAGCTGTTATAAAAATGGTGGTTTGTCTTACAACAGAGAAAATATACATATACTTTTTAGAGACAGGGTCTTGCTCTGTCACCCAGGCTGGAGTTCGGAGGCTTAATCAAAGCTCACTGCAGTCTTGACCTCCTGGGCTCAATTGATCCTCCTGCCTCAGCCTCCCAACTCAAGTAGCTAAGACTGGAGGTGCATGCCACTATGCCTGGCTAATTTTTTTTCAAGTGATCCTCCCCTCTCAACTTCCCAAAGCAATGGGATTACAGGCATGAACCACCACACCCAGCTGAGAACATATTATTTCAATCTCCTGCTTTCCAAGACAGGCTTCTGCCTATGACACCAGAAACTACAGAATCAAATCTGCTTGCTGGTCACAGAAGCATTACTAAACTGGATGGTAATAAATTTTTCTCCTTTCAATTTTCTCCTGATTTTCTGTCTCATTAACCTTATTGTATATATGTCTTCTCATAAGCTGCTTCAAAGGAAAACACAGTAAATACTGAACATAGGTCTCAATAAAGGGAGCAGCTTTTCAATTCATTAACAGAATGCAGGTTTTTTGGAGGGTGTGCATACAATACTTGATGAAACTTTTTATGTGAGACCTCACTTAGGAGACTCTGCATAGCAAGCCAAGCATAACTTGGATGAGAGTTTTCTAATAGAGGAAAAACCTAGCTCTCGGCAAAAATGCAGCTGCCCTAGGGGAAGCACCCAGTAGACAAGCTGTGGCCATCCTCTGGAAGAGCAGAGAGCACTGGCACTCTGTATCAGTGACAGGAGGTGGCGCAAGGCAGCCTGGTCAGCATCCTCACCCTCAGACATCTGAATTGGCCATGTCTCCATTATAAGCAGAAAACTAACAAAAAATGGCACTTACTTCACTGTCACTTGGGCATGTCCAGGAACTACAGGACAAGACAGGAAATATTTTGGTCCAAGAAGTGCTTCAGGTGTGCCCAAGCGAGCCAGGCAGGAGTTAAGCTGACGCCAGACGGACAGAGCCCAGTCGACAATCTTGCACACAGGATCACAGGGTGAGGGCGCCTGACCTTTGAACTAGAGAGACAGGGAGGTAGAACCCAGGGGCTTGGTTTAGAACATTTTGTTTTTAAAAGCCCAAAATTAAAAATATAAAGCTTTAAATCAAAACTGAAAACGAGTTGAATTTTATGTAACTTTACTTGGGATGGCTGAATGAGGGATAATAACACACACTATAGTTGTGCAAACATGTTACTGTGATAAGCATTTTCCTCCTTTAATTCTCACCATGAGCTTGAGTTAGGCATTTTTACCCCATTTTACATATCAGGAGCCTAAGGCAGGAAGAAAAAATAACTTGCCCAAGGTCCTACAGGTGATAGTGACAAAGCCAGGGCTGGAGTCTATTTATATTTTTTATTAAGGCATAATTGACAAAAATTATATATATATATGGTGTATATTATGATGTCCTGATGTATGTATACATTGTGAAATTATTCAATTAAGCTGATTAACATGTCCATTTCTTCACATACTTATTTTTTATGGTGAGAGCATTTAAGATCTACTCTCAGCAATCTGCAAGTATACGTTAACTACATACGGTTTATCTTTAATAGAAAAATAGGATACGGCATCTCGCTGAAATAATAAAGGAGTCATTTATCACGTTTAAAATAAATCCAGTAATCACTATTAAGCTAAAGAACTTCCTCTTCTTCCTCAGGCTTAACATTTCTGAAGCTCTCTGTTCAAGCTTCACTTTCTATGGTCAGCCAGGGCTGAAAGAACAGGCTTAGCTTTGTGGGCAGCTGACAGAAGGAGAGGGGTCCCCCCCAGCTGCCTCATCAAGACCGCATGTAGAGGAAGGCAGGAGGGCAGAGCTCGCATTGGAACTCGGTCCCCAGGGAAACGTTCCTTTTTCTGGGAAGGCTGAATTACTCTCTTAATGACTATCTAATAAACTGCTTCTAAAGTTCAGACTGTTAGATATCGTAACAGAATCACATTTCACAGTCGCCAAAGGCAGAATGTAATCTGTCTTTCCTAAGGACCTGAACCCACAGGTGGGCACCCCTTCTCTCCAAAGTGCAGATGTTGTTTATATGAAATTTCTCCTTTCGCAATTTGGTTGTATTATGGGAAAAGTGGTTACAGGACAGTACCTTAAAAACTGGTGTTTCATTAAAAGATCTATCCAATAAATAGACTTTCTAGTAACTCCATGTTTTCATTTCCTTCCCTAGAGATATATTCCTTCAGTGTTAATGGATACTTTTGTGTAGAGGTGTGTATGCCTACTATGTATTCTATGCCTATTTGTTATTGCTGCTAAGAAGGAAAAGTCCATGTTAGTTAGTATACTCATGAAATACAGAGGACACAAAAGAAAAGGTGTGAAAAGCTAATGAAGAGCAAGTGATCAGTTCTGGTGTGGTTTCATGGAGTGAAGGAAGCCACCTGCCTTTTTTTTTCTTTTGAATTTTACCAGCTGGAAAAAGGAGGAAATTGAGCCAGGCCCTTTATCTCTCAGATCTCTTCTGGACTGGCAGTCTTGAAGTACAGACAGACACAAGCTGCTATGGTAATTCGAAAGGAGAACTGACTAAATACAGCACGGTCAGGAAAGACAAATGGAAGAGGTGGGACTTCAGCTGGGTCTCCCACAGGATGTCCGGGACACGGGATTGGTGAGGGGAGGTGGGAAGAGTGTCCCAAATATGGAAGAGGGAAGGAACTGTGCAGGAGCAGTCAAAATGGATGCTGATATTTGCAGATAACAAAAGGGATGAATAAATGACAGACTTCTACAAGTAAACAGTCTATGTACCTGTTACTAATTCAAGGTGCTGGATCTGATCCCCCACCTAGCAAGTCCCCTGAACGAATGACTTCACAGCCACATAGTTGTCCTTGAGTTTTTCCACATGCCAACCTCCTCCTCCTTAGGCCTGGGATGTGTTGCAAGTGCTGCTCCTTCTGCCCAGACCCCTACCTCCCTATTCTCAGCAAACTCTTCTTCCTTTAGATAACAAATTAGCGTGACCTGCAGATCCTTCAATGTGACCACAGATAGAGAGGCCTCCACCCCATATTCCTAAAATAAGTACTCTTCCCACTTCCGCCCGAGTTTCTATAGTGGTACTTTACCTGTTTCTTTCACAGCACGTATTAGCCACCTGTTTAATTAGCATGATTTGAGTGTTGTACCCATGAAGTCGGACAGAATCAGAACAGGGAACACAGAGTTTAATCTGATGTCATTTATCAGATTTGTGGCCCTGCCACTCAAGAAGAGACAAGGCTTAAATAGTTGAATCCAGTCCAGTGGTGAAATAGCATGGGTAAAGGTTACAGATTCAAATAAAAGCTGAGAACTAGGTAATGTGTAAACTGAATCTACCCCACTTGGAAGGCATGGACTTAGATACTTGCACACAGTGACTATTAGCGGGACTCTACTGATTATTTTCCTGTTACTGAGGAAAGCCTAAGGCCAGATCACAAGTCCTCAACAAGCCTGGCCAATACACAGACTTGGCCAGCCAAGAAAATAACCCTGAATTTTCATGGAAAGAGAACCCAGGTTTCCTGAGATGGAAAAAATTGGGGGGCATGGGGGCAGGAGGTATATTTTTGTCTTCATCAATATTCAGAATTAAATATAATCAAACATGTTATGGGTTAGGATGAGAGAATCATATATTGGATGTTTTTAAATACTTGAAATGTTTACAGGAATTTCATAGATTAGAATATCTTCATGTCCAGTTTCAAATGGTAACTGAGTTACTGATTTAGGGTTGTGACCTTAAGAAGGGGTAAGAGAATTTTATTAAGTTTATGTAAATGGTACAAGAATTAAGAGAACATTTGAGCCACTGGATTTATAAATTTAATTTTATGGTTTTATAAGAGTTAAGTACTTGGGAAGATTTTTCAGACAGTAGAAATTTTTATAAAGAGAAATAAAATATATTAAAGTTTTAAAGACCAAACTATTTAAAGAAATGTAATTAAGCTATAAGAGTCCCTTCAAAGGTGATTGTTAAATTTTGCTACATTTATACATAGAAAGATAAAGTTATACAATTAACTTAAATGCCTGAGGGAAAGCCGGGTATTTGGATGTACAACTTTAACACACTGAATACATTTTTTAAAATAGCACTTGAATAATGCCTCCTGAATAAAAACTGTCCTCCAAGGTCCCAATTCCTACAAAGATCGTTTCTTTTTGAAGGTCTGTCTTTCCATGAGAACACTAGCTCTCTGAGGGTGAGAGGAGCCTTATCTTGTCCCACAGTCCCCAGGCCAGGGGCAAATGTTTACAGAATAACCAGCTAACACTGTTCTGATGCACTTATCACACTGTGTTTTGATGATCAGTTTGCATGGCTATGTCCTTTCAATCTTAGTACTGGATCTTCCTTGGTGTGCCACAAAGTGAGGATTTAGAAAACGCTATGACTGACCCACAGGAGGAACAGGCTGAGAAGTTCTAAGTCTGGATGACTGATAACAAAAAAGGAAGTCGGCGGGGGAAGACCGGAGTTAGGTTTGGGGACAGGACATGTTGAGTTTGTTATGTGTGCAGTGTCAGATAGACTGCATTATATAGATCTGTAGCTGATGACATGAACTGAACACAGAATAGAGGGGTACGCAGACAAAGGAGAAAGCTGGATGAATTTTAAAACATGAATTCTGGAAGAAACATTATTTACATGTATATATAGTACCTCACCAAGTATTACAAGTAGTTAAGTGTTAATAAGAATGACATGAAATATTTCATATTCTGGGTAAGTGACGAGATGCTGTATCTGGATTTGTAGGATGTTCACCTGGTATTAATGGTAATGAAAAACAATTTTATTTTACTAAAAGTAAGGTGTCAGATAAAATGCTAATGTCACCAAAATGTACAGAGCTCTTTCAGCATAAATACATTTTTCCAAAATTTCAAATTTGCACATTTTAAATAACACCATATAACACACATGACCTAAAGGGAGTAATTCTTTTTAGAATTATATTTTATAAAAATCAAATCTCTTTTTGGTGGTATGGAGGGTTCACACAAAAATAAATATTTATTTACTTTTAGGAGAAATATCCCTTGATTAGAAACCAGGCACAGAAACTAACTTTGTATTTTATAAGAAAGAAGATTCACATAAATCTTTGCTTTACCAAGTAATTATGACATTAACACAGAGGACAACTGTGAACATTGGTATGTCCTACATGAAGGAAATAATGTGGCCAAGGAAAAACAAAAAAATTGATTCTGTGATACCAGCAGCTCTATTAAATTGATATCACTGTATTATCTGAGGCTTTGGGATTTGTTACAATTTTCCTTCTCTTCAAAAGAGGAATGATCATTATATAACTCTTTGATATTTTTTAAGCAACAATTCTGAGATCATGTATTGTATAATTAATGATAGTTTAATATTTCCTACTAAAAAGGGAATAATTGTTTTTTATTAAATACTAGTAGAAAGCCTAGTATTGTCCCGAGAGGTCGATTTTCTTGTCTCTCTCCAAGGAACTAGAAGAAGAAACTGTGATCAATTACCAGCGTGCTGTAAGTGTCCACAAAGATGAGGTTCTGTGACATTACAAGATTCCTGATGTTTTGCAGGAGTCATCCATTCCCTTGTACACACACCCCAGGGACCGTTCTATTCAGCTATTTGAAGTGCTTATTGGTAAAGGAAAGGCATTTCCTTTTTTCCACTTTCTATTCTTTGCAGCACTCCCCACTCTCAAATGCAATGGAAAAAGAGAGTGAACCTGAAGCTTGGAACTTTCCTTTCAAAATAAGTTAAAAAAATTTTTATCAGAGAGCCAGGGGGAGGGAGGTATACTTTACCTGAAATAGTGCCAATCCCACATAATAGAACTGGTATCTTTTCTGATTATTTATGTGAATTATCTTTGGTAATGAGATTTAAATATTGACAGTGATAAAGTTAATGGAAGTATCGGCAATTTGAAAAGCTACAGTTTTTACCTCACCATTCTTCCTTCTTGTTGAGATCATACAGTGGCTGGGCTTTGCCCAAAAGCATATATTTATGACCAAGTAACTGATTTAAATATAACATGGGGTAGATTTCTCTCATTAAATTAGGAATTTCAGATATTAATTCTAATTACCAGTGGCAGACGCTGTTTAATGAATTCCCAAAAGCCATTCTCGCCCCACACTTCTCCCCACCACTATCTCCCCCGCCCCAGCACACATGCCTGCACACACTCTAACATAATAGACGCAGAAATTTGTTCAAGCATTTGGTGGAGAGCTTCAATCTTGGAAAAGCAGGTTTGGCCATGGTCTGGGATGAAACATTAAAGAGAAGTCTTATGTTTCTGGAAAAGTGCTTTCCTCCCTGATGAGGAGACTGAGGAAGCCGAAGCTCTCTATCCTTCGCTGCAGCCCGCTTCCTGCCCTTGAACGTGTTTTCACAAGGGCACAGTGTCTGCAGCCTTTTGGGCACACTGCAGTCTTGAGGGGAGGGTCAACAGACTCCCCTGGACCTGGGACCTGCGATGTTGGACACCTACCACAAGACATCTGGTTATACGAGGGTGAAAATCCTTTCTGTGAAACAGCTAACAGTTGGGGTGTTCTGTTTTTAGCAGCTTAAAATATTGCAATAATGCAGTGACAATACTGTCCTTCAAATGTGGCCCATTGTGCAGGATTAAATGAGAAAATCTTACTAAATCAAGCTCTATTATTGCTAATCTACCTTGACACTCAGCTACTGGCCCACTTTAAAAATATTAAATAATGATGTGTTCGATTTGGTCAATTCTCAATTATTTTTATCATTTGGGAGAATATAGAATACTTATTTTGTTATTCTGTGAAAGTCACTAAAAGTTATTATTACTCTTGAAAATGTGTCAAAAGATATAGAATTCTACTTATTCATGTGGCTTTTTAATATTTACCATAGCGTAGTATAACAGGCCTATTGTAAAATGTGCCCACAGGGGTGTATGTTTTGAAGGCCTCAAGAAAACAGGAAGTTTTCCTTAAGAAGAGTGATTAATTTTCTAACTAAGCCTTTTACAGCATTTAGAACTTGGTGAGATTCCTTGAGAACCGCTGATAACAATGGTAAAACTGATTTGCTTTTTCTCGTACTTAATGCAGTGCAGAAATTGTTATGGGTTTCACATTCATTACGTTATTTGGCCCTTCAATGTCAAAAAAAAACTGTACTTGCCCAAGGCTGCATAGTTAGTAAGTGGTGGAACTCAAGCCGAGATCTCCTGACGACTAAAACCCCTGCTCTCCTGGCAATGGGCTGCAGTTGCTGTTTGTTACCTTATTCACAACTTTCCTTCGTAAGAACCTCTGCAGCAGTCCTTGCATGGGCTCGCCATCCCACCGCAGCTGCACCCAGCGGAAATGCTGCTGCACCAGCAAGTCGGAGCCCTGGAGACAGGCCTTGGCGATGGTTCCCATCAGAAAGCAGTTCTCATGAAAGTAATAACATTCGGACATTCCATTTCCTGAAACAAACCAAAAGCAATGGCCCATCCTCAGTGAGTTATGTTATGGGACCAATTCAAATGAAAATAACTTAAAGAACATGAAGGATAACTGGTACTCTGAGAAACAGAAAGATTAGAATAGTACGGAAGCTTGCTTCTCAGCATGGTCCCTCTATCAGCATTACCTTTTTGGAAAGTGCAGGGGCTTTCAGTGCTGCGATTTTCAAGAGGTGCCAAAAAGTCCCTCAATAACTCAGACAATGAAGATTTTTCCAAATTCTCTAAAATGATGATGATTTTCTTCTTACTGGGAGATTGTTTCACTGGAATCAGACAAGCTATAATAAAAAAGGAAATTCAGTGATTCACGCTTTTGACAAAAATTTATACAAATTGGCAAAACTAAAAAGTTTGAAGTTATAAAGCATTAGCAAAGATGTGGTATAATGGAAATATTCTTAAATTGCTTGGGGAGTGAATAACTCTGGAAAACTGTTTGGTAATATTTGATATGTTTGAACACAATGATCCAACATTCCTTGTTCTATAACAAGTCTCAAATGGAATCAACCCCCTATCCATCAACAATAGAATAAATGAATAAATAAGAGTATGTTCATACAACAAATAGAAAGCGAACAAATGACAACCTGCACAACATGGAAGACTCACAAACAATATATTAAGCAGCAAATCACAAAAGATTATATACAATGTGTTTTCATCATGTAAAGTTCAAAACAGGCAACACTAAATCTATAATTTAGGTATTCATATGCAGGTAGTAAAACTATAAAGAAAAGCTAAGAAATGATTATCATGAAAGAGTAGTGGTTATTCCCAAAGGGAAGGGTTTGCGATAAGAGGGATGGACCACACAGTCACATTCTGAGAGCTGAGAATATTTTACTTCTTGACCTAGTCAGTAGTTACATGGTTATTTTATTTTAAATTATTAATTAATCTGTAAACATAAGTAGTATGTATTTTAGTATATCTATTTCATAATACAAAAGGCTAAAAGCCCTTTAAATTATGCATATGTAAAATGTTCATAAAATTATGTAGACAGGTGGTGGCTCATGCTGGTAATCCCAGCACTTTGGGAGGCCGAGGTGGGCAGATCACTTGAGCCCAGGAGTTCGAGGCCAGCCTGGGCAACATGGTGAAACCTTGCCTCTACAAAAAAATACAAAAAATTACACAGATATGGTGGTGGGCGCCTGTATTCCCAGCTACTTGGGAGGCTGAGGTGAGAGGATCACTTGAGCCCAGGAAGTTGAGGCTATAGTGAGTTGTGATTGCACCACTGAACTGCCACCTGGGCAACAGAGCAAGACTCTGTCTCAAAAAAAAAAAAAAAAAAAAAAGTAGGACTTCAGAGAGATAAGTAAATCCCTCTCTCCATTTTCCAGATCTCAGAGAGGTTGAAGTAATTTGACTGTGGTCTCAGAAACAACGGTAAGGGAGGAGTAAAATCCAGGACTTCTGACTCATATTTTCCCATTCCTTTCACTCAGAATAGGAATGGCTGACTTCTTGTCAACCCAAAATGAAAGTTGGAAAAGTAAATGAAAAATTAATATTATATATAGGAAATGAATAAGGGCACAAAACATACTTAAAACAGTACCTGGCACCTACTAGCAAAAACTATTAATATTTTAGTTAAAATGTGTTATATATGGAACTTCCCATATACTAATCAATTACAAAATAAAATCACTTTAGTTTCTTGAAGATTCTAAGACGCCATAGTTTTAGTCAAATCAACCTTGAAAAGAGACCAGTTTAAGATACTTGAGAGTAACATTACCAAATAGTCGACTTTTTACAAATATTCATGATAGCATATTCTCAATTCCTTCTTGTTACTATAGACACAATGCATTTTCATTTTCAAAAGAGCTCCTTGAACATTGTAGATGAATCTCTTCTCAGACGGAAATGGCTTTTCTGGATGCTATGAAAATTTAAAAACTAGAAGGCTAGAAACAATCACAGCTACCTCTCAATCTAGTTGTACTTGTGGAGGGCCGTTAACACTAGCATCTAGTGTGTGTCAGATCACTTTCAACACAGCTGTTCGGTAAAGAATGTTAAAATTCTATGTTTCTTTGGGTTCAAATATTATTTCAGAAATAGATGTATTGTGGAAATATGAGAAATCCGTAGTTGGTTAAAACGACAACGGAAAACTAACAAACATTTTTAATTCAGTGATTAAAAAAACACACAGGATTGATGGTTTATGTATCTGGTTTTCTGTAACTGAGGACTGAAGGTCTCCAGTTTTTCCCTGATTTGTGTTAAGTGCGTTGCCAGTTTAAGTGGCTCTGAAGTTGCTGCAGCCAGCCAGAATGTATCTGAAGGAAGGACTATTTCCTTGCATTTCAACAAATGTTTATCCAATGCCTCTTTGCTACAGGTACTGCATGCTGAGTGCTATGGCATGCCGGAAGTGACTCATTCTAACTGGGGGTGTGTAGCATTTTACTTATTTTTTTGAGACGGAGTCTCGCTCTGTCACCCAGGCAGGAGTGCAGTGGCATGATCTCGGCTCACTGCAACCTCCACCTCCTGGGTTCAAGTGATTCTCCCGCCTCAGCCTCCCAAGTAGCTGAGATTACAGGTACACACCACCATGCCTGGCTAATTTTTTTTTTTTTTTTTTTGTATTTTTAATAGGGATGGGGAGTCACCATGTTGGTCAGGCTGGTCTCAAAGTCCTGACCTTGTGATCCACCCGCCTCACCCTCCCAAAGTGCTGGGATTACAGGGGTGAGCCACCACACCTGGCCAGCATTTTAAACTAAGTTTAAGAAATGGCACTGGCTGAAGAATGGAGGCTGGGCAGGACTCAATTCTAGAAGGGAATAGGGTATCAAATCAAGGTCAGAATAGTTACAAAAGCAACATCATGGTGAGCTCAAAGCTGATCCATATGGCAAGTTGGGCCAGGACTGGGAACTTGGGATGGAGCCACAGGAGTGGCAGGGGGCCCAGCAGTCACAGCTGCAGAAGGCAGTCTGCATTTTCATCCTGAGCTGCATAAATCGCTGGACCCATCCCCAGTGATTCTCAGTGATTCTGATTTAATTGCCCTGTGCTGGACCTGGGACATTGGCATTTCGTAAAAGCTCCCTAGTGACTAGAACGTGCAATCAGGGGTGAGCTTTGCTGATAGGAAGCCTCAGGACGAAGCCAAACATGAAAAGTCGAAGACCCTGAATGTCTTCTTGGGAGGGAGCTGCCGGTTCTGGGAATCAGTGGAAGTCTTTAGGGGGATAAACAGGATTTGACTCCTGCTCTGAGATCCTCGATGGTGCAGAGAATTGGCCGATGAGGAAACAAATAGAACACACCACCTAGACTCTTACTGCTATGGTAAAGGAAAGAGATGATGGGAGCCTCATTCAGGACCAAGGCACAGAATGAAAAGGCATTTTAAGACCGAATCAGTACATCTCAGTGGTTGACTTACTGAGAGGGGGCAGAGAGGAAATACCGGAGACAACTCTGAGGTTTCCACCAGAGAAGAGGGTGAGCGGTTAAGGGAGGCAGAGAGCAGATGACCACGCACGTACTTGGGGAGGAGGTGGTGGTGATGGGTTATGCTTCAGGCTTGATGTGTTTAATGCATTCTCTGATGCCCAGCAGGCGGTGGGGCATGAGGGTGAGGGCATCGAGGAAGGATCCATGCTGGAGATAAAATAAATGACTTTTCAGGCATGCTGGGGTCTCCTGGAAAGAGGCAATACGCTCATTCTCCTGGGTCCACAAGCAAAGACTGTATTGCTAATGACCTAATACATCTCACATTCAATGGACAGCTTGTGCCCTAGACAAAAAGGAGGAAGGGTTGCTATACATAACCGCTGCGTTATCTTTCCACTTCATCTCTGTCTTGGTCTCCCACGAAGTAGCAATCAAGGGTCAAACAGCACAAGTTTCTCTGGGGAAAAGCTTTGTCTTCATTCGCTTGCCTCATCGCCTCAGTTTTTCATTAGTACCACTTTTCCATCTGACCACTTAAGTTCAACATCCTTAGTCCAGGTGGGGCAAAGGTGAATTTCATTTTAGTTGAGAAATAGTATGTGTCTAGTTCAGGTTATTCTGCATAATTTCAGGTCTAAAATATTAACCAGCCACAGAAGCAGGAACTGACCGCAGTTTCAAGGATTACCCAGTCTCTGATCAGGGCTTACAGAGGGGTGAGAGAGGGCCACACACCCCATGTTACAGCTGCAGGGTTCTTTCTACCTATGGCCCAAAAGTCAGCCATTTGAATTCCCTTTGCTTTGTGCTACTTCAAAACACTATTTCTGAAACCAGTCTGCTCTTTTTGACCGTTTTCTTCCAACTTTATAGTCTCTCTCAGCCCTGCTCCTCTCCTGCAGGTCGGTAATTTTAACTGGACACTGTCTTTGTGAGGCTCAGGGCTACATCCCAGTTTTGTACATCCTTATATTAAAAGTCCCGGAGAGTGAATTCTGCAGCCAAACTTACCAGTTTAAAAATAATTAGCGTATCGCATTTCTAAACCCAAACTGCTTTGTGTCTTAGGTGACTGACTCCAAGTCTATAATCTCCCCTTTGAGGATAGAAAACAGCCCCTCTTTTCCACGTGCCCTTAAACCCCGGCTCTGGGGGAACGATGTTCTGAGAATCCCAGTGGGAAGCACAGGACAAGTCTTTAAAGAGTCTCCAGGGATGCAGGGTCCAAGGAGGTAAACTCATTTCTCGATACTCCAATTGTCATAGTCTCCTACTGTTATTACAGCAATCCTATCCTCATGACTTTTACAAAGGAAAGTTCCCTTGAAAAATTCCAAGTATTACTTTAAAATACCCTTCTAGTCTTTAATTTTTTTCTGTTTTACTGTTTACAGTCACTGTAATTTCAAAAAGTATCATCTTGCTAACCCAAGTCCATACTTTATACTGAGGAGAAATTTGACCTAATTCGAATATGCATTCACAGCCTCCTTACCAAATAACAGAGTCATATGACGTGACCCTCTCTCAAGAAAGGGAATATGAGAAGGAAATGTTATTTTAAAATAAACACAAAGCAATTTATGCTAGAATTAGTGCTGTGTCATTTTCTTTGAAATGGTCTTTTGTTCTCTATTATTTTCTTCATTGGCACCGTTTTAATCTCCACTTAAGTTTTAGATTCTTAAAGCCAATTATTTAAAACACTTTTGCTACTCTTCATTTCTGTCCTTTTTGTTCACACCCTTCTTTAACTCTTTTCTGTGACTGTTCCCTGGCTTTCTTCTACAGCGTTGTAGAGAGGAACACACAAGGCAATGTGTGCTGTGCTCAGTGGAAG